GTAGAATTTCAACAGTAACAACTCAGCCTCAATTAACACTTAGAGCTACAAAATTCCCGTACTGTTCCACCATACGAAAACATGACTTGTTCCGAGTGTGTCCGCTTTCAAAGTCGGCCTGCTCTGCTCATCTGCTGCCAACCACGGCCTTTCACTATATTATCGTGGGATATGCTCATCTCAAATACCTTAAATGAAGAGAAAAATTCCGTTTTTCTTGGTGCAATGGGACGGCCACCATCTGCTGGCGGCCAGGGTGAATAACGGTCGAGGAATTCCTCGACCATGGCTCTGTACTGTGCGAGAGTAGTGCCGAGAGTGAACGTACGCGCGGAGAGCACAGACGGCTCGCGCATGGCGAGTGTGAATGTCCGCGCGGGAGATCGTAACTGATCAGGCGAAAATCCTCGACGTGCCGTTGAGGAATCCTCGACCGATATTCACCCTGTGGCGGCCTGCACCGTTTGTTCCCTTGGTCCTGGAGATGGGGAATGCAGTTTCCGCACCGAGTGGCTTTATAAGTCAAACGTATGGCCGATGTCAGACTTTGCGCATCAGCGATTCGCTAGCGAATACGAAGGTATGAGCGTTGCACCAGCGAATCGAGCTGTGTACCAGCGGATCGAACGATGTACCAGCGACTCAACACTGTTTCCACTGTTTGAAAGTGGCGGGACCCAACGTTAGGATGTCCCGCCACTTCCAAACAGTTCCGTTAGAGGCCACTTTCCAAACAGTGTTCCTTTAGAGTGGACTTCCTTTAAACGTTGGGTCCGCCACTTTCAAACAGTGTCGAGTCGCTGGTACATCGTTCGATCCGCTGGTACATCGTTCGATCCGCTGGCACATAGTTCGATCCGCTGGTGCACAGCTCGATTCGCTGGTGCAACGTTTTCAGACTTTGCGGATCCAGCGATTCGCTAGCACGCCGAATTTCGCTGATTTTTGTTGACGCTGCAATCAAAGCCCCATGCAGGTTTTGTAATAATTATGAGAGAAACTGTCGACATGGATCTATGTTACTCTCGTTAAGTTCACCATTCGAGATAGACGCTGTCTTCTCCTTCTCTCAGCCGTACATTTCACTCGTCGGTTTGGAGGCGATGATGAAACGCATATGCTGGACTTGCCATCAAGTAGATTTGAGACTGTGCCTGCTTCACGGCTGCCTGCGTGCACTGGCGTGATGAAAATCATTGACTCGCTGTTCCTTATTTCAGGACGTGCCATAGTATGACGGACACTAGGGCGACGTTTTTGACAATCTACGTGCTTCGAACGAAAACTTTAAAGGTGAAAGCCAGTCGTCTGACATTTGCTAATTCCTACAGAGCGTAACTAATTCCTATTAGATATGATTCTGCAGGCATATGGGTAGGATCAAGGAAAAGGACAAAGGCATTTTGCCGTTGATGATCTTCTTTTGATTAAGTTAGCTGTGCAGCCCGCGGCAATGGCCATTGAATGCGATGTGGCCTATACAATGACTTGCGGGGGCCAGCCGATGTACAAGTCAGTGTTTTTATCCTCCCAGACAAGTCTGGTACCAATTAACCGACCCCGGAGGGATGGAAGGCTTGGTTGGCCCGGGCGACTCACGACCCAGGATTTGATCCCCGGACCGCTCGCGTGGTAAGCGTGCCACTTGCCACTACACCACTTCCGCCCTTGCGAGGATTATTCTCTAGAATATACATACTATTCAACTCCACAAGAGTGAGCGACATTTCTTATCGGCCAACCAAATAGATAAAGTGGTTGGCTTACCTTTGTAACAGTTCGACTCCAGCCTGACATCCCACACAACCTGCAAGGGTACCGGCAATCGCTTGAGCGAGCATTGGTTGTACAGTACAGCTGTAATGAACAGTAAAGAGGGAAAAATTAATAATATTAATCGTGGGGTAATGAACTAGAAGTGTTAGATCGAATTCATCATTGACAGTTCAGGTCGATAATATTTTCATGTACATAATCGATAGAATTAACTAGGCTGCTCACCTATCCAACTTTCACCATTAATGATGTCCTGTATTCGGGCTATCGAAGCTAGAGATATGTAATACTACGGAAATGCTCTGACCTAAATGCAATTAATTGAATGTGATGGATTAAAAAGCCCAACATGCAACCGAAGAATAAAAAGCGAAAGAAAGCATACGCCTATTACTACGCACTCTACTTTCATTCAAATCCGCCTAGTTCGTTTTGAATGCAAGTAGAATGCGTGAGGCACTTCAAAGGGACATCAGTTCTCTCTACTCAATTACAGGACTACAAATTCGGCCCTAATTCTTTCTAGCGCAATATATGTGCATTTTGAGGTGCTAAGTGAGTTGAGGGGGACACGGGGCGCACGGTATTCTGCTCATCTGGTGCTCTCTCAACCGCATGGCACTGAGTATAAGCCTGAGCTTAGGAGGGATTTCATGCAATATTTGTCTCTCCTTGGATCTCCCATTGACCTATTTGGAGACTTTCTGAGGTGACACCTCCTCGTACAAGCTGAGCTTGGAGGGTAAGGATCCAGGATTCGTAAGCTACCCTCCGTCTGCCAAGAGGTGAAGGGCAAAATACAAATCGCAACGTTTACAGCCTGCCCATCCCTTCCTATGAAAAAAGCGGCTCCCGCTGCGGCGAGCGCGACCGAGTTGATAGTGCCCGTGAACCAGGGTGAATATCGGTCGAGGAAATCCTCGACAGGGGGGTCGTACCTGTTGGGCTGGTCCATGGGGGGTCGTACTCTTGGGGGTCAGTAACAGAAGTGGTATCGTGGTGCAGATAGGTAATAGGGTATAGCGCAGCAGAAAATGAAAATATCGAAAAAAACATGATATTAAATTTTCTTTGCAGGTTCAGTCGCTCCATTCCTCCACCTTCATGAGAAGGGCGTATTTGAAGGCAGTACAAAGAATGAAAGTGCATCCCCGCAAAGAAGAGTGCCACATGTGCGCACGCGCTGCAAAGGCACCTCCTCTGCCTATCGCTCGCTCCTTCTCCCTTAATACCTCGCTGAGAATGACACTGTTGTTAGGGACCCTGTCGCAAAAACGACAACCGTGAAGGAAAAGCCCTGGGCAAATGAAGTTGTTCTTTAGGTTGTAAGAGTTACGAAATGCGTTTACTACAATGCAGCTTCTGTCAACTGGTCATGATCATATGACACCTTCGAATCGATTCTGCAACTTCGAGTGAGGTCGGATGCATGGCCTATACTCAGACAAAATTCGATGATGACGATTGCCCCTTTTCCTATTGCTTATGTTGGGAGGATGTTTTCTAGACCCATTTCAAGCGTTGCCAACAATTACACTTGCAATGGTGAAGAAGGGAGCGGATTTTCAGGTGGCCGGATCCGTCCTCGATACATACTCGACGCAGATATCTTCTCAACTAGGAAATGTAGAAGAAAGCTAAGAAGACCATCAGAAAGCGCAAACCTTCCGCTTTCCAAAACTATCTTCCTTTTTCAGGATCTTACGACATTAGAGAGATATTGCTTTTGAAGTGGCAAAAACTAGCATGAAAATTTCAGCGTCCTCGACGTTTACTCGACGAAATTTGAGAGACCCTATCTTTCTGCATGGAAGGCTTTCAGAGCAATTTCAATACTTCTTGGAAACGCGAAATCCAGCTCTATCTAACCCTACCTCAAACTGCTTCAAAGGTTATGAAATGGAGGAATGCAACCTTTTCATCGAGGGTGTAGATTTCGACGGTTTTTTTTTCGGGATTTCAGCAAATCTGACCCAGTGACAATCGCGCCGCAGCTGCCGTTGAATCGGCCGTTGATTGATACACTCGGCTGTTTCGATATACTCAAGCAGGAATTAAGATTGAATCGCAACCCCGTGCCTTCAGGATTTCTGTGCATTTCTGAACGAACCTGACTTTGAGGTCACACAAAGTTAATGCCTCTTTCCTCGAGTCGAGTAAATACACAAAAGTGTGCAGCGATGAAAGACAGTGCATAGATGACAAGATGAGGCGTCCATAACATTATTTTGCAGGATTTTTTTGATTAATTAATTGAATTAATTTGCTCTGTTTTAGGGGGTCGTGCCAGGATCTCGATTTCGGGGGGGGGGGTCGTACTTCTGCGACCACGTACTCGACACGATTTTCACCTGACCCCGAAGCAAGTGCTTGCAGTTATTTTGAAAGCAGACCCGAACCTGCGTTGCGCAGTTCGCAACGGCACGTTGAGAGATCCTCAACGCACGCTGTATGGGCGGAGACACAGACGGCTCGAGCATGCGAGTGTGAATGTTCGCGCGAGAGAACGTGTCTAATCGGGCGAAACTGCGCAACGTGGCCGTTGAAACTGCGCAACGCAGGGTTGACTCTGCTACGGACTCATCCGCGCTCGCCACGGCGACGCCTCAAATTGTGAAAAACGTGGGAGAGGCCAAAAAAGGCTCAGATGGCAGAGTGGCCGCACCCCGCTGCTTCCCTCTCTCCAGAACGCTAAGTCATCTATTCTTATATATATTAAATGAAGCGTATGAAACGCGTTTTAACGTTTCCATAAATTCTTCGCCTGTCAAGGAATTCGGCTATTATAAGCCATTGTTACAGACCCGTACCAGATCAGGGGTTCACGAGTGGCCGAAATCGTCCATGCGAGTGAGCGACTAGGCCATGAATCGGGAAAAAGTATGTCGTATAGATTAAGCGATATTAGGCGAGGTGAGTGACTTGCGGCAGAAAGGCGTTAAGAATGGGACGAGTATTGATCTGCTTACCCTCCCACTGGCAATCTCCAACTCGCAAGTCGTACAATCGCTTAATTGATACATATCCTTCTTCTTGTAGACTAGTCGCCTAATCGCCTAATCGCATATACGATCGCCAGCTCTGAACACCGCTTTAGTCATTGTGAATCAGCGACGCTTTAGTCAGGCAGCTTATCAGGGAACGATAGTAGACATCAAAGATGAAATGAAGAATTCCACCATCAGTATTTCTCATTTCTCATCTTCTATGTCCAGAGAGGTTGAATGTCACTCGTCGAAGGTGTGCTTCTCAAAGTAGCCATTATGCCAGCCGCCTTCATGTTCTCTGTACTCGGTTGTTTAAATATTAAGAACAATAGCGGTGAGCATTACGATATTTGGGTGGCCCCATGTCCTCAGGGGGAACATTCAAAACAGAGTATCCAAAACCGCTGCTGGCTTGGTGACCCCAAGTCGCAGGGAAGGGGAGAAACGCCTGGAAGAGGAAAGGCTGCTCACATTCTCCCATCAGATCCCTCCCTCTCCCTGAGGCTTAGTCCCAAATTCTATAAGGGGCTCACTTACTTCAATTCCTCTCAGGCACCGTCCCTTGCTGTTGATGACATGAGCCTATTTGGGTTATATCATGTCTCAATAATCTCAAGTGCATCTATTTCAGATAAAGATGTCGACAGCGCCCAATGTAATACATTTCAAATGGTAAAGACTATTTGGTGCTTTCATGCCAATCATCGCCCATCCCTCAGGGTGAAATTTTGAATAGTGCTGTAACAACCTGAGGGAAGCACTGTATACACCCACCAAAAATTACTATATTCTAGTTTCCGATGAAGCGGAGTCAGATCGATAGTGAAGAAAGCACAGAAGAATCGGAAAGCACGAGCAGTTCCAGAAATTCGGCCTGTGGTGACAGGAGAAAAAAGAAAAGTTAGTGAGCCTCAAGTGTAGTTATTTGAGAGGGAGGAGCTTCGTGAAGACGCTCGAACTACACGACACACACTCTCATTTTGTGCTGGTTCGGTCCCCTCCTTTCACAAGCAAAATGGTTTACTCGCTCTGAGCTTCCTTCTCCTGCAAAAACTTTGGCGCTATCGCAAGGCACGGGGCAATTGAATTGGCGCTATCGCAGGGCACGGGGGCAATTTGAAGCCGCGTAAAATATGTCCTCGTCAAAAAAGACGAAGCCTTGGGTGGAGGAAAAGAGAGGGCAGGGTAAGTGAGCTGCGTCCGTTTGCTGTTGATCACAGTCATTCCAAAAATAAGGCTATGGCTACCCTCACAAATTTGACCGCCTCATAAGTGTAACACGCGAGAAATGAACACGGTTCTACGTGGGCCAAATCGATGCCACTTCAAGATGTGTATACCAGTAGAGTGATCTGAACTGCAAAGCAGCCTCGATTCCGAACGAGCCCTATATGATATCTCAACGAGGAGGACAAATGACGAGTTTTTTTGTAAGTATTCTCTCGTTTAGGAGAGTGCTTGGAACGCTCTAGGAAACTGCTGAGCGTTTATAGTTCGCGATGGCATATGGCAGCCTTCGAGGTTGGCAACCGTACACGCGATAAGGCGATTGGGCGAGTATCGATTAGGCAACCAAGCGACCGCTTAATGGGCGGAGCAAACAGAATCGATACGCATCCCTTTCTTATCACGTACTAGCCTAACCGTCTAATCAATACGTACACTTCCTTATTGAAGCATCGCCTGATCGCATGCTAACTCTGAACGCTACTTGTGCGGTTACACGACCAGGCGACTAGGCGATTAGGCTGAGTTCCTAGTTCGCAACAGCGGAGATTAAGATAGTACACGAAGATGAAAAAGATATGTATTGGGAGATTACTATAGTAGTGTCCCCCGGCAACCGCCGGAACCTCCCTTCCCTGCGTAAGCTTTGCGTTCCTCCTCCTCTCCTTATCCTCCCCTCCTCCCTCCACTGCTCTCCAGCTGCCACTGCAGCACCTTGTGGAATGACCGGAAGTGTGCTAAGTAGGTGTTTATATAGCCGTTGGAGTGTTATCACAATATGCCATTGCAAAACATTGATATCTCAATCCTGTAAGCTACCCGATTTGTTAGCGGTTTGTTTATTCCATGAGCTTCCTTATCACTCACTTCATTTTGCGGACGGACACACATACATACATACAAACAAACACCGACACACCGTGGTTGTGGTTCATATAATGAAGAGATTACGAAGTATATAGGTTGTAGGGAAAGTATTCGACAGTTATTGTTTTACTGACTTTTTGAAAGAAACAAAACACATGAGGAAGCAAGGCAATCACCATCACACACTATCACTCTTTGCCACTTTTCGGTTAGCAATTAACTGCCCTGAGTTCGACTCGAAAAAGTTACGCAACCAGCGATCTATGTCATCTTCATCTTCGAACGTTTTCTCTTGTATAGCATTCGAAAGCGAAAGAAAAAGGTGGTAGTCTGTTGTACCAGTCCTGGCTGTACGGTGAGTGGCTTCCCACTTCCCATCGTGGGTCGAGTTGCTTCTGTCGGGTCACTGTTGTAGTGCGTGGACGAACGCTGTCGTGCAGGAATCAGATCGTGCCGCAATTTCGATGCTTCTCTGCGATCTTGGTGGCCATTCTATCCAGCTCCTAATAGCACAAGTCCACCGCGAGAGTAGCGCAGCGCGGCAGTAGCTCGTAATGGATAATGCCTTAATCTTCTCACTAGAAACAGATCATTACCTTCAGAAGAGTGGCTCAGGCTTGATCACTCTTGGTTTGTCATACCAAGCGTCGCGGGCCTCTAATGTTGACCCTACAGACCAGCACTTCGCGTGTTGACGACGACTGTCCAGCCAACATTCGCGCTGCCACCGTGACGAGAGCCATTCATTAGTCACCTCGGCACGTTGCGGACAATCGCACGTGTCAAGCTGCGGGGTCCCAGGTTGTGCACCTTTCCCAACTGATGCAGGTGACCGGCAGTGATGCTAAAGGATACACCTGAGACTTATGCAATTTCACGCGCAGTTTGCCTTGGGTCTGCCCACACCAGCTTACGCAAACGATCATTGTCGACTTCGAGTTCACGTCCCGATCAAGTGGAACTTTCAAGCTTGGAGTCTCCCTCGCGGAAGCGTTCAGACCAACCTTGTGCAGTGCATTCGGATACCCTACGTTCTCCACACGCAGCATCAATGCGACGTCTGGATTAGGCTGCTGATTCGCCAAATATCAACCCGTATAGTAAAAGGTCATGAAAGTACTGTTGTGAAAGTTGCATATTGCAGAAACGTGATAAGCTACAGGTAATAGCTAATAATTATACTGAACTTGCACATATATGTTCTCCTTATATATGCACGAGCCAAGTTGCTGGCAGGCGTTTAGCAGGTTAAAAATAAGATTTTTTGAAAACCGCAAGGACTTTCCCTACAACCTACAATAGTACGCTGACAAGACTGATCGATTCGCCTGAATACGCCTAATCTACAAGCTCCCCCAGCGATTATAATCAAAACCTATCATCTCCTACAGCGAAATGTCCTACTCCACTACCATCTCAATATTCTATCCGGCGCTCTTGTCCTTGGGGGAGACATCTAAGTGAGTGAGTCAATTACTGGGCTTGGGACTAACAATAAGCCTCAGGCAGGGGAAGGGATTCTGTGGGAGTATGCAAGCAATATGTGTGCTCCATGCCGTTTCTCCCCCTCTTGGGCTTAGTCCTAGTGCCACCTTCAATCGGCCCTGTTCGTTCAGATGTCCCCCCCCCCCCCCGGACATGAGCGCCTTCTATTCTAATCTGCCAACTAAAAAAACAACTAAAAGGAAACTATGAACGCGGCCTCAGATGAGTAGGACTGCACTCGTATCAATTGAGTTCCACCTACCGAGCAATCGCCTAATCGCCTACTCGTCCAATTGATACATATCCTTTTCCTTATAATCTGATCGCTTGACGCCTAATCGCATATGCGATCGCTAATTCTGAACGCTGCCTAAGCGCCATTGCTGAAGAAGCTGGAGACGCACCTTACCAAACGCGAGTGCAATCGCAGAGTAGTGGCGTTTGAGATGCAATGCCACCACAAAGCCCCCGTATCTTGCGACATCGCCTCAGAATCGCATACACGGCTCCTGTCAACCAAAGGCACACGCCCTGTGTAGTATTAGGACTAAGGCCTTGTAATTTTAAGGAAGTGTAAAAGCAGAGATACTGAAGAGTACATGTGTGAGAGTTCCTAGACACCACTGCAAAACGCTGAATTGCCTATTCTTGCGAATGACACCAATTCTTAGATCCTACCTGTTTTCAGACTATCGCCCACCAAACGACAATGAGACCGTCGACGAATGTGCTAGTGACTGGGAAAAACCAGTGGATCGGACACCAGCTTCATTTCAAAAAAATAAGCCACAAGAGATATGGCCAGCGCAGCAGCTACCAGAGCAGCAATCAGCGGAGCAACAAGCGCAGAAAACACAAACAAAGACTGCTCGGCCATCAACAGACACTACCCTTCATCATACTCATGCTAAGAAAAAAGGAAAACAGAAGTCGCCCAAAGATTCTGGCTACATCTACAACGAGAAAGCGTTTTTTGCTGTTCCAGGAGCTAAAGTTCAACAGAAACATCAAGATCCTCATTCTGCAGCGGTTCAGGTGCCCAAAAGTACCACTGCTCAGAAACAGCAGCAACAACAACAGCAGCGGAAGCATCATCACCATCATCATCATCAGCAGCATCACGATCCGAAACATACCAAACCAAAATCCCAAAAAATATTGGAACAGGATCCGTACTTCTATACTCCAAATCCAAAACCCTGAAGATACTTTCACACTTCAAATCGCTCTGAATCCTTTTTAATGTATATATCGATCCAGTAAAATTAACTAAAGAACAATGGAGCGAGTTGGAGTGTGAAATCAGTTTGAAACACAATTAGTGTCCTAAATAAGCTGATATCAAACACACAATACACAATTTCTACTATTCATCATTTAAAGAAACCTAATAAAAACCTTTAATAGCCATTTTGTTCATCTGCATGTTACGACTTTACAATTTTTAAAAGCAAAGGGCGGGATCGAGTTGATGTGCATTTGTGACAGTAAAGTGACAGCGGAGATGTGAAGTGTAACGTTATCTATGGGAAAACGTGAAGAAACTGCCTACAAGGTCGAAAATGAAACCCTCTCTTCAGTAGCAGCAAAGCGAAATAGCACTCATTTGTGGGCGGGCTCAATGGAGTTGGGCGGGGCCAGTGCTGCAGGGTACCCCCAGGCCCGTCGCGCGGCAAGAAGGCCGAGTCAGCGGACGAGTCGCGCGCGTATTAGGGAAATCGCGTCAAGTTAAATAGAATGTCCCATTGCACGTCCTTCATCGCACATCACGCGCCGCGACTCGTCCGCCGACTCGGCCTTCTTGCCGCGCGATGGGCCTCCTGGGGGGGGTACTAGTGCTGCATCTTATGGTTGGATCCCTAGCGCATCAACCTTAGGCCGACGTCATACTTTGCGAATCGAGCGAATCGCTAGCGAATCGCTCGAGTCGAGCGAATCGCTAGCGAATCGCTCGAATCGCTAGCGAATCGAGCGAATCGCTAGCGAATCGCTCGAGTCGAGCGAATCGCTAGCGAATCGAACGATGCACCAGCGATTCGAACTAGGTACCAGCGAATCGAACTAGGTACCAGCGAATCTTGCATAAAGCTTGAAACTAGGGTGTTAGGCTAGGTTTTGAGTGAGTGTGTGGTTGCCGCCGGACAAAGAGCCTTTGGTGAGGCCACACAACCTCCGAATTTCGCGTTTTACTCCCCTATTTCGTCCACTATAGGTACTCGTTGACTGGTTTATACAAGGAGTAATTAAATTATTCGATCATGTCAGTCAATATCTAACACCGTTGGGCTTCATTCAAATTCAAATGGACTACAGTGCCGCGGCAGTA